TGACCTTGATGGCTGTGACTGGAAGAAATGAGAGAGGATACTTTGTATCAGTAAATATCACTGCGGTTCACTTTAGAAGCTGTCTGGACCGAGGGATTATACTCTGCTGCCGGCCCTAATCAACCTGTAACCGTGGGGCAGGGGTGTGGGGGTGGGAAGACATCGTGGTCTGCAGAGTTTTCTGTTACTAGTTCCATCGAGTCAGCACTGACTCACGGTGACTGCCCTGCACTTCCGTGCAACAGGACGAAACTGTGCTGGGCCATCTTCCTGATCATTGCAATGTCTGATTCCGTTGTCCTGTCACTCCAGTCCATTCCATTGAGGCCTTCTCACACTCACCTCTACCAAGTAGAATGTTCTTTTCTACAGTGATCCATCTTTCTTGATGGTATGGCTAAAGAAAGCAAACCAGAGTTGTTTCATCTTGGGAAAGAACTAACGTATATGTGTGTGTATGTTTAATAACAGGTGGTGACTGCTCTTTAGATTAGTCATTCGATAATCACAGAGTCGTTTATTTCCACTTTTGGTTAGCAGCTGAACGCTTATCCACTACATCACCAAGGCTCTTCTAGCTAGAGCTGGTGGTGTTTGCTGTGGAGTCGAAACCGACCCAGAGCTGACCCTCCAGCAGTGAAAACCTGCATGGGGAGAATCTGCAGGTGATTGCATGGGGAGAGATTGCCTGTCTTTCTCCCGCAAAGCAGCTAGTGTAGTGGATTTGAACTGTATGCTTTTGGAATTACAGCACATCTTCTTACCACCAGAGTTCCCACAGCTAGCGTTAGGACTTAAAAATTCCGCAGTTCTGACCCTGACCTTTCCATCTGATGAGCCTGTCTAAATACCCCATTGGTGCTGCCTCTGCCTTCAAGGAGTAGAGTATGCTCTTCCTTCCTCAGATGGTCTCTTCTCCTACTTTGTTGTACGTGAGTGTTATCTTATCAAATAGCAAGAGTTTGGCCATTAGAGAGCATGCGTTGATTTCCTGCCCACTTGGGACTTGTGGGACAAATGTTTGGCACAGGACTTTCTTAAAATGTTGAAAATAGCAAAGATGCCATTTCGAGGACTAAGGTGTGCCTGACCCAAACCATAGTAATTTCACTTGCCTCATAATGTATGTGAATAAAGAAGATATGTACCTTTGCATTAAAAGGTTAATGAGACCTACTGACTATAGCGTTGACTGCCGGAAGAGTGAACAAATATGTTTTGGAAGAACTTGTACAATCAGAATGATCCTTAGAAACAAAGATGATGAGGCTTCATCTCACATACTATGTGCATGTATCAGGAGAGACCAGTATCTGGAAAAGGGTATCTGTCATGTGTGGTAAAGAGGGGGGTCGGAGAGAAAGAGCAAGACCCTTGAGGAGATGGATTGACAGTGACTACAGCAGTGGGCTCTGACGGGCAGTGAATGTGAGGATGGCGCAGAGCCAGGCAGTGTTTGCTTCTAGTGCATGTAAGCGCGCTATGAATCAGCATCCGCACCTAAGTGTGAACGTTAAAGTAGGCCCAGGACCCAGGTGGGACAGGTGGTCTTCCCAACGGTGTAACTTCTATGACTCTCACGCCCAACCCAGACGAAACCCCCTACAGCTTACCCAGGCCAAGAGGGGTCTGAATGATGTCGGGGTTTTTTGCAGCAAAAACTGGATGCAGAGTTTCAGAAGAGACTGGAAAGGAACCGAATTGCTGCAGAGGAGCAGACAGCAAAGCGCCGGAAGAAGCGGTAAGATTCCATGGCGGCACCCCCACCCCACCACCCCACCCCCTGTTGGTCACAGGGCTGAATTCAGGGCCAGAAATGGCTGTGTCTGATGGGAGAGTGAGTTGAGGTCTTGCAGTAGAAAGCTCACCTGTACAGATCTCAAATACTAGAAAACAGACTACTCTCTTTCATTGCCTGGCCAGAGAGAAGTCATGGACTGCTCTAATTTTGTTCCGAGTCTCTAAAATTTAGAAATCGGCACTAAGGTGGTTGCACTGGATTTTAATGTTCCCTCCTTTTTCTCATTTTAACATCACGTATGACGGGGTGCTGTAAACAGACTTTCCAGTTAGCGCTTCCCTAGAACCTTGTGACCTGCTCAAGTGATGGGAGGGTATTTAGGTTGAAGCTCTATATGTCTCCTTTTAAAATAAATGGCCCCTCACCTTAAAACAGCTGATAACAATCCCTCAATAATCTTGGAATGGAAAAGTATCTCGAGTGTTTTCTGAGATGTTTTAATCACCTCAGAACTTGATCTTGATGTGTAATGAAAACAGCTTGTTAACATTGATCATATTTGTTATAGCAGGATTATAAGAAATGATCTTACAGGTTCTAATTGTAAAGTTCATTTAATTATAAACTTCCTAGTATGCCATAAGTGATTGTTTTCTAAACTATGCAGTAAAGTAGTTAAGGAATCAATGCTTTTATTTTTCATTTGCAGTCAGAAGTTAAAAGAGAAGAAATTATTGGCAAAGAAGATGAAACTTGAACAAAAGAAACAAAAAGAAGGTGAGCCGTGCTCATGTGTCTGGCCTGGTCTTTCTCTCGGTGGTTGAACTGTCAGGACGTGTTGAGGTTTAATATTTGGGGCTGGTTGACTAGCTACTGGAGAAATGAGGCTTTATTTGTATGAATTAGGAATCTTTCTAGCTGCAAGTGTCAGCTGAACTGGCTTAAACAAAAAGATTGGCTCACATTAAATCCAAGACAGACTTCCCTTCAGGCCGGCTGGTGAGGAATCTCTGTGATGTTACTGTCATTCACCAGCCCTCACTTTGTCCCCTGGTTCTCTGTCCTCAAATAGTCTCATCATCTTCTCCCGCCCTGCCCCGTCCCCCCAGTGGTTTGGAGATGCCTACAACTGTTCTCATGCTCCTGTCCTGCTTCAGTCTTACCCAAGAGGAGTGGTTAAGGGGTTGCTCCCACATCTTGTGTCTCTGATTGAGTCACCTGCCAAATCAATTAAGAATCTTTAACTACCAGTGCTTAAATATGAGTTCATTTTTCTCACATAACAAGACATACAATGGTAGGTAACTGCCTGGTGTGACTCAGCAGCCTATCAGTGTCAGGCCCAGCATCTCTGAAGTTCTCTTGGCCTTTGCCTGTAGGTGTGAGATGGCTGCTGCAGCTCCTGCCATCATACTTACATTCAAAGTGAGGCAGTACCTGTCTGGTCTTTTTTTTTTCATTGCAATTCGATGCTTCTTTATTCTGGTGATTCAAAAAGCTCTGGTCTATCTTTTTTGACTGGTTCTTCAGAAATACTTAGTCCCAACAAATGCTACCGTGTGACTTGCTGGCTAGTCCTGGATCTCTAGACCCTGCTAGCTACCAGCAGACTCAATGACCAAAGCACAGACGTGTCCTGACTGACTGGAAGCTGTCAGGATCGTCACTGGGAGCTTCATACATTGCTTCTCTGAACTGACAGAATCGGGGCTCTGATGACAAAGGGGGGCTGTAGGGGAGTATATTGGGACAGCATCCTACCATGCTGCCATTCCTGCCCTCCTCTGAACCCAGCAGCAGGCCAGGGGTGCCTGCTCCTCCAGGAGCCAATTAGGTTAAGAATAGAGGAGAGGACCCAGGAAAATGACAACTGTCCAACTCCATTACCAAATTGGCAGCTCTCCCCTGATTGATTCAGCTTGGTTCCTGGGGTTTTGTTTGTTATTCATTGACATCAGGTCGGAACTGACACATAGCTCACCCTCCAGCAGGTTTTCATAGACCATAAATCTTTGTCAGAGGTTTTTTTCCCGAGGAGCATCTGGTGCATTCAGACAACTTGCACCTCCTTTCGCGCAGGCCACCAGAGCTTCCTTGGTTCTTGGGTTGGTGAATGAGATTTCTGGTGTTAGGACAAAATCTTATTTTTTTAACATTGGAATATGGTTCTTACCAGGAGAGTATACTTACGAATGATAAGTTTCCTTTGTGACATACTGTATATGGTTTTAGACTGTTTCCCATTTTGCTAGGAAAAGTTATTTTATGGTTTTAGACTGTTTCTTATTTTGCTAGAAGTAATGGGACAGCTGCACCTCATCCTTCAGATAAACTACCCCATCACTTTCCCTCATCCACCCTCCCACCACCTCATGCACATGGGACTACAGAAGGACTTGGCTCAAAGACTAGAAGATTGGACACATGAGAGCCCATCTCATGTTCTTTTTTAGGGGATTCTGTAGCTTGGGCTGTTCAGAAATAGATTTCCTTGACACTGGGTAATTTGAATCTCTCCACGGTTTGTTTTTCCTGTTTGTTTTTGGTATTTCTCTGTTTCATGACTTCCCCAGACCAGTTCTTCATTTTTGTTATGTGTGACCGCTGAAGTCTCTGTTCAGACCAGCAGTCAGCTCATGATCGCCCAGGATTTCCTTAACTTCTTTGAGCCCGTGGGACGGGCCTTCACTCTGCAGGCACTTTGTCATTCTGCCTTGGCCTTTAGTTCCTCCTTGCACAGAGCCACAAGCGTAGCCAGAAGGAACGACTAGGGTCTTTTGTCTTGGGTGTGCCTCCCTCCCTGCACATGGGCAAGCCTTCTGGAGTCCCAGGAATTGAACTTTCAAAGCCCCTGTGGACATGACATTGCTTGGCTTTTCCTCTTAAATATCTTGTCTCCCCACTGTGTCATTACTTCAGACAGTTGAGCTGGTTAACCAGTGGTTAAAGTGAGGTTGCTAACTTAGAGGTGAGCGGTTTGAACTCTCCAGCTGCTGTTCGAAAGATGGAGCAGTCCATTCCCAAAAAGATTTTCCATGGAAACACCGGTGGTTCTTTCTCTTTCAGTAAGGTTGCTATTAGTCTTAATGACTTCAGGGAAATGGATTTGGTTTTTAAATTGATCTTTATTCATAAACCCTAGGCAGTTCACTCTGATCAAACTATGAGGTCAAAGGTTTCCAGGGAGCTGCCAGAGTGACAAAGGGCCTCCTCTGCCAGTGGCCTCTGGGCTGCTGCTTTTCAGTGGGGCCTCAGGGTTGGCTAAGAGGACAAGTTACAAAATGCTATAGATTTAATTGTTGTAAGAGTCCCTTCTTTTTCCTGAACAATCCAAAGAGCATTTCCAGAGTTGTAAAATAGATTGATGTTGATGGTTTTGCCAGCTTTCTTCGAGATTTTGTGGAGAAGCAGATGACCAGAAGGTCTTGGTCGACCACCCTGAATGTGCTTCCATCCTTTCTCATTTCCACCTGGGGGTTTGACATGTACATATAGATCTCTTTCAAATTATTGTTATAGATATTTTTAATTGAGATTTTAATGAAAGACTGTCGAGAACTTGGATTTCCATTCATTCATTGTTGCACATTTTCCTCCCCTCTTCTCCCCCCAGTTCATTTTTCTCTTTGAGAAGAAAAAAAAAATTCTTCATTGTTATACAAACACACACACACACACACACACACACCCCTCCACTTTACTATGCAGCTCTTATTCTGGACTCTTGCCGTGCAGATAATACTTAATCATAAATCCCTTTCAAATAGGTTTTTTCCCTTATCTGTTTCAATGCAGTGTACATTATTTATGCCCTCTTTTCTTCGTTTTCCCCCAAACCTGGTATCAGTCCTGTTATATAACAGTGACATTATGCAGTATTTGTCCTTTTGTGATTGAGATATTTTACTCAACATAATGTCCTCCAGGGTTGCCATTTTGTATAATATTTCATGAGTTCCTTGTTTTTCAGTGCTGCATAGTAGTCCATTGTGTGAATATACCAGAGCTTCTCTATCCATTTGTTTGTTGATGGGCATTTGAGTTGTTTCCAACTCTTTACTATTGTGAACAAATCAGCAGTAAATATGGGTATGCATATATCTGCTTGGATGGCAGTTCTAGTTTCTTTAGGGTATATTCCCAATAGTGGAATTGCTGGGTCAAATGGTAATTCTTTTTCCAACTTTTTGAGAAAGCACTATATTGCCTTCCATAGTAGTTGCACCAACAGTGAATAAGGGTTCTAGTTTGTCCACAACCTCACCAGCATTTGTTGAATGCTGCCCTGTTGAATTTTGTTGTTCTTACTTGATGAGATGATGTCTCCTAGTCGTTTTGATTTGCATCTCTCTTAGAGCTAGGGATTTTGAACATTTCTTCATGTGTTTGTTTGCCATCTGAGTATCTTCTTTGGTGAAGTGTCTGTTTATATCCTGTGCCCCCTTTGCAGTTGGGTGTTTATCTTGTTGAAGTGTACATTTGTATTTATATAAATGTATGTGTACAAATTTGTTGTGCATGTTACTCCATCGTTACAAACAGAAACTCAATAGTCTTAAGCCAAAACTGCTTTGTCTCCTCCCCTCCATCCCTTGTTACCAGTAACAAACTTTGCACTCTATACATTTGCCTCGTAGTGAGAAGGCACAGTATTTATCGTTTTGTGACCCTTTTATTTCACTGAGGATAATGTTTTCAAGCTCTATCCATGTTGTAGTGTGTATCAGAATTTATTTCTTTTCACGTCTACTCTCTGTAGACGGCACATCTTTGCTTTCCTGTTCGTCAGTTGCTAGACATTTAGGCTGTTGTGGACAGCGCTGCAGTGAACATTGATAGACGAATCTCACTTTTCTTTCATCCTGCTTTTTTTTATATACTTGGGTTTAGATTTTGCTGCGTCATATAGTCGTTTTGTCTTTAACTCTTTTAGAAACTGCCGCGTGAGTTGTACCAGTTTTCATTCCCATAAGTAACGGATGAAGGATCCAGTTTCTCCACACCCTCACCAGCACCTGTTGTTTTCTGGGTTTTGGAGCAGCCATTCTAGTGAAGATGAAGTGGTATCTCATTGTGGTTTTGATTTTGGCTTCTCCCTAATAACACTGAAGGCCTGCATCTCTCCATGTGCTTGTTGATAGTGTCCTTTATTACAGCGGGGATACTGGTTATTAGTGTTGGTGCTGTGGTAGAGTGGGCCGGATAATTACCAGTTCTGTTCTTTCTCCTTCTTATGCACATTTAACATCTTCTTTCCTGAAGAGTGTTTTCACTGGGTGTCTGGGTGCACAGCTGTTCTTTCAACCTTCAGAAATGTTGCCCCCCCTTCACTCTGGCTTCTCTGCTTTCTGATGTGAAATTTGCAGTCGTTTAACTCAATCTCCCATCACTGTTTTTCTGTGTCTGCTTTCAAGTTTACTTTCTCTTCAGATTTCAGCAGGTTGACTGTGATGTATCTGAGCATGGATGGATTTCCTCAGGTTTATCCTGTTTGGAGTTGGCTGGGCGTCTTAAATCTCTCAGGTGTCTGCCTTTTGCCTTCTTTATATACCTTCAGTTTCTCTACTCCAGTTTTCTTTATTTCTGTTCCAGGTGTCCACATTCACTTTTTGGAAAGAGATTTTAAATAACAGCTTCAAGTATTTGTCTGATAATTTCAGCATCTAGATCATCTGGTCTTTAGTGTTTCTTGATTGTCTTTTCCTGTGTAAGTTGAGATCTTCCTAGTTCTGTATATGCCAAGTAATTGAATCATTTTCTGTCCTGGATATTTGGAG